GGAGGGGGTGGTGGCTTCTTGAATTTAACATTTCCACATCAAAGTGGTTCTTTGTTGGTGCTCTGGCTTAATTTTTAATCTGTTGATTCCATCAGGATTTTTTTAGATTGGACATTATTGTGATGTGATTTGGACACTCAGGTATGTTTTATTTTAAAGCAGAGGTGCAGTCAAGCAGTCTATGCATACACACACTCAGCGGTCTCTGTATATATATTTTTTTTCTTTTTTTTCATCCTAAGAGGAGCGGGATCGTTTCTTCTCTTTCTTCCGAGTCCCCAACCTTTCTGTGCAGAAAGTCCAACTAAGCCAAAGTTAAGGACATCTCATTATCTGTTTTGTCGTTGGCTAGACTTTAGTAATTTTCCTCAGAAGAGATGATTTTTTTCCCCCCCTCCTTACCAAACCCACCTTTTTATGCTTCTAATTGGTTACATAAATCTTGTCTGGTATGAATGAGGAATGTTGCGGTGTTGTCAACTGCAATCTTCACCCTTATTTACCAATTCATTAAGATCTATCGATGCAGGACTGCTGAGAGGGAATGACAACATAAATCAGAGCTCGAGACATAATGGCCCTAATCAACCAGAAATAACTGGAAACGTCACAATGAGCTATGTCTCTGTAGCTGTGTCAGACGCGGCTGGCTCCCCTGCGCCCGTCCGCTGGATCTGTGGAGAGGAGCGGAGAGTCAGACCCATCCAACTGTCATTAGCTCCTCTGATTTTTCTCAGCAAGAACACCAGAGCAACGTGAAGAATTTTGTCCATTTACTTCTTTTTTTTCTTATCCAGTCCTTGCAATGTGTCAAAGCAGCTCAGTTTTGATCACTTACAGTATTTTCTGAGTGAAACACTTCCAGATACGATGTCTATAAATACAGTTAGGTCTGGAGTGCCTTGTATTCGCCGCGCACCTCCTCTCCTCGTGATAAAGATTATTGCACGAGACAATGAGGCCTCCCCTCTTTATAGGTCAATTAGCCCTGATTAGGTGGGCTGAGTTAATTAATGAAATTGGCAAATATGCAAATGAGAGCCGACTGATCGGGCTTTCGTCACTGTCTCGCTCACCCACAGCAGCAGGGCTGTCTACAGCTTCAACAGAACGAGGTGCCTGATAGGTAACATGTAAATGATATGGGTCGAGCCTAAATGCAGGAGAGGACTAGTCTCTCTCCTCCTCTTTTTCCATCAGGGGACAAGCCGTGCTGCACTAATATTTCAAAGACGTGTGCATTTATTACTATACCACATAAATCTATTAATAGTAAAATATTTTGTTTATAATTTTTTTCTTGATTTTTAATGAGCTACTAGTGGATTTTATTTTATTAATACCAATGCTTGCCTTTCATATCCATTTATATTAGTAACTGGATAGCTGGTGTACAATGAATATTTTGCTATTATTATATTTCAGAGCTGGTTGCATTCACATAACACTAATTTGTATTAACGCAGTATCATTCCCACTATTCCTGAGTGCCTCTTGCATTTGAATCTAAAGAGACATTGTGCAGATTGTACAATTGAACATGCACTTTACACTCTTTCCTATGGTCCTCTTTGTCATTTTATTCACCCCCTTTCTTTCTTTCTTTCTTTCCACTTTCTGTTCTCCACTCTGACACACTCTCACACATCCATTCAGGGACACTTACATACTGTGGCAAATAGTCTGTCTTTTATCTTATTCTTTCTCATCTCTTTATTGTAAATAGAAGAGAATTAAGTTCTGAACATTCTTGACTGAATGTCTCCTATCACAGAACTACAATTTATTGTCAGCTCAAATGAAGAATTGAAATATGACTGAGGTTTTTCTCAGTGTAGGGGCTCATTGGACAGGAGATAACCACATTTGATTCCGTTGCTTTGAATAATGTTAATCCGGAAAAAAGCAAAGTCCATTATTCATATTCATCTCTTTTCATTTGGCCCCACTCCTGATTTTGTAAATATGATTTCTTCAGCTACCACCCCCACACCCCTTTTTTTTCCCAAAGCAATCTTTATTCACCAGTGAAGCACTTTTGAAATTCCTCTATCTGAGAGCAGAAACCATTACCATACACAGGTTTATAAGAAGTAGTCATTAATGCTCTTTTATGGTGGCCTTTTAGTGCCAAAAGGGAAGCTTTTAATTCTAAGGCACGGCAGCCTGGCTCTCCTTACTTAATCCGGAGGACTGGGTTGTGTCGAA